AGATGCTGCTATCATTTTGATCCCCATATAGATCTTTAAAAAGCACAATTACAATGTTCAAGACAAGCATTCTTTACTAATTAAGCTATTGTTTGGTTTAAAGAAAATTTTAGAGATTAATTTTGGTTTCAGTTTCAAAGACTCTTTCAAGGCAATGGTTTGTCAGGGTTTGTTTAGCCTCAAGAACTCCAGAAAGTCTATTTTACATTCTCCCTCTTTCTCCTCTAGAAGATTTTCTATCCTCTCCATGGTTCCCAAGGAGCTCTAGTAGCATAATGGTTACAAGTTGGGCTGCTAACCTCAAGGTCAGAAGTTCAAAACTACCAGTTGTTCTGCAGGAGAAAGATGAGGCTTTCTGCTCCTGTGAAGACTTACAGCCTCAGAAACCCTATTCAGGGTCGCTGTGAGTCAGAACCAACTCCACAGCACAAAACCAACTAACCATGGTTCCCAGACCAGGGAGCCATCTTCCATGCTTACAGTTCTATTAACAGCCTCCCAATTAATTGCCCTCTCTATTATCATTCTCATCCTTCTGCTATCCATTTCTCCAAGCCATCTGAATGAGTCTTCTGAAACATAAATCTGATCATGTCAGCCAACTCTTTTTTTTCCTTTTCCAAATGGTTATTTTTAAAATGTTTTATTGTGAATTATGTGATAGTTTACATGGGAGAACATTAGCTTTACATTCATCCTATCGTATTTTGTTTCATTGCCATGATTACAATCCCCTCCATGCATCATCAAATAACAAAAGGGTATACCCTGCAAGCCTGGCCGCCGGTCATCAACACACAGCCCCTCTTCCTCTCTGGGTCTAGAGTACCTAGCCACTCTATCTCTCCACATCATCATTTCTGCCTCCATCTCTGGCGTCACTGTTTCTCTGGGTAGGGTTCCGCACTCCAATCTTCTACATCGATGGGCTCAGGGACCTTCGCTCCTGGACTGCAAAGTCAACCGCTCCCCTCCTTTTGCTACAAAACGTCTTACCTTTACGTTTCCAACCTTCACAGTCAATCCTGATAACAATGATTCACCATTGTACCACAAGGGACCTATCCCCATCGCCTTTCATTAGCCCTGTCCAGACAGATTGGATACTACGCAGTGGAGATTCTACCTTCCTCCACGCCCTCTGGATCTAGGCTCCCTCTTGAAAGCTTGTAAACCAGTCACTTCTTGCCTTTGTAGCGCCCCCATTTCGGGTAGCCAATGTCCAAGTTGCCCATCCCTATCAACGCTGTGTACCGAGGGGGTGGGAATGATCCTTATTGTAAAGATTTGTTTCCTCTTTTGAGATACTGCTTCCATAGGTGTAGGTCAAGTTCATCAAATTGTATCAGATTACTCTTTTTTCCCTCCTCTTCTTCTAGTTGAATTCTGATCATCCAGCCATTAAAGCCAGGGCAAGTGAGTATTATCTGGAAGTGTGGGTGTTCTTGTGCATATGCTCTCTCTTCTTATCAGCTGGACACTTCACTGTCCGCTCTAGTCCTCTGTGGCTATGTCACTGACTCTGGGCCCAGGAGTCCCCAGGTCTTGCCATACTGCTGGCCAACCAGGTCTCCACCTGGGTTCACAGGAGTCTATTGAACGTGGTTAGACTTAGCTCACAGCTTCATTGCTGTTTTTCCCTCACTTCTCATCAGTGATGAACGTGGTCACCAGTCTGACTGCATGTCTGCTTGTGTATTCACCTTGAGTCTTAGTCTTGGAAGGGGGTTTGCCCTGAGGTGACTTGACCACTTGCCTTGATGTTTCTTGGGTGAGCAACTTGCTTGTTCTTGTAGTAGTCAGTCGGACTGCCATTATTGCCTTTTATTTTTCCTGTGGGTCTTTCAAGAAGTATCTTTTGTTCTTCTAGCCACTCCAGGCTGGTCTGCTTGTTCTTTCAAGTGGAGATTTCCCACCTCAGAAGATTATGGATGGGGTTCAGGACCAATTCCTCTTAAAACACTTTCATGGTTTCTTCTACCTCAGGATAAATTCTAACCTCTTTTATGTAGATGCTCATGACCTGGTCCTTTCCTGTTGCACCATATTTTTCTCAGTTTCAAGAAGTTGTACTCTTATCTCGAGACATTTGCAAGGCTGTTTCCTGAAACAACTACTTACCCAGCTACATCCCAGCACTTATCTGGGGAAACACCTTCTCATATTTTGGTTTCACTTTCAATGTACTGTGGTTTGCTATCCAGGTAAACTTTCTCTGAGGCGCTTCCCCACCCTTGAAGTTTGGGTACCCTCTTCGATGCTCCCATGGAAGCTTCTCTTATCTAGCACCACACACTATGGTAGGGATCAAGCCTGATTGTTGTTGTTTGGTGCCATCAAGTTGGTTTCGACTAATAGCGACCTTATGCACCAACAGAATGAAACACTACCCAGTTCTGCCACTGTGCCAATCCATCTTTGGAGGTCTTCCTCTTTTTTACTGACCTTCCACTTTACCAAGTGTGATGTCTTTCTCCAGGGAATAGTCTCTCCTAATAGTATGCCTGAAATATGAAAGATGAAGTCTTGTCATCCTGGCTTCTAAGGAGCATTCTGGCTGTACTTCTTCCAACATAGATTTGTTTGTTCTTCTAGCAGTCCATGGGACTTTTTAATATTCTCCAACACCATAACTCAATTGCATCAATTATTCCACAGTCTTCCTTATTCCCGGTCCAACTTTCACATACATATGAAGCTATTGAAAATACCATGGCTTGGGTCAGGGGCACCTTATTTTCCAGACCTCTTTGCTCTTGAACACTTTAAAGAGGTCTTGTGCAGATCTGCCTAGTGTAATACATTGTTTGATTTCCTGACTGCTGCATCCATGATTGTTTTAGTGAATCCAAGCAAAATGAAGTCTCTGACAACTTCAATCTTTTCTCCATTTGTCATGATGTATTTTTTTTAGTCTAGTTCTGTTCCTTGTGTTACTGTCATGATGCTTTTTACTGGTTCAGTAATTTGGATTTTTGTTTTCTTTACAATGAAGTGTAACTCATACTGTAATCTGTGATCTTTGATCTCCATCACATTAAAATTTCCTAGAAAGCTTTTAAATTGATATCTAGGATTCTCTCCCAGGAGCCCTGGTGGTGTGATCGTTAATTCAACATCTACTAATGGCAAGGTCAGAGATATGAATCCACCCAGCCACTCTGCTGGAGAAAGATCTGGCAATCGGTTTCTGTAAAGAAACCTCATGACTAGGAAACCTGAAGGAGTTCTACTCTGTCATATAGGGTTGCTGAGTTGAAATCTACTGGACAGCTCCCTATAACAGGGTCTGCTCCACACCAACTCATTGTTGCGTGGGGACTAGGCACTGGTAGTTTTTAAAACTCCCATAATTTGCAGCGCAGGTTGAAAGTCACTGCTCTAATAGATTAATTATTAGTCTCTTATACGGAGAACAGTATCCCTGAGGCATCCAAAGTGCCTGGTAAAGGGTGAATGAATAAATATTTGTTGGAGAAAAATGTGTGGCTGGAATTGTGGGTATGAGACAACATTGAGCAACACTGTATGAGTGAGTGATTTTAACCTATGTGTTAACTTGTGTGGAATAGCACCCAAGTAGCTGAAACCTGTGGATGTGACCATGTGGGGTGTCAGAGTGAAGCTGCAGCTAGTTAAACACACACACCCTTTTTTTTCCTGTGCAGGCTGCTGCTAGTTGAAATAATTCTTTTTTTTCTTAGTAAGTAAAAGACCCTGAAGCAGCAGCTAGCCAAAATAACTTGATTTGTGCAAGTGAAAGGCCCTCAGTGTTAGCTCTTATTTACACCTCCCTGTAGATAAGCCAGTAGTTAGCCCCCACTCTGAGGACTAGTACAGGAATGAAGGAAGACAACCTATTGCTCTTGTGAAAACCCCCTGAAAATTGCCATCAAGTCAGGAAAATTGTACTTATTGGAGACACGTCTAGAGTAGTTGGCTGACCTGAGATAAACTGAACAACAGAGAAGTTCCTGAGATTCCTCAGACCCCATGCCCAAGATCCTTGTAAGTCTCCCTTGTCCTCAGGGAAGCAGAGTCTTGGACAAGCTGTCCGTCTGTCTCCTGTACATTCCTGGACTGCTAGCTACCTTGTAGGGTTTCTGAGACTGTATATCTTTCTGGGAGCAGAAAGCCTTATCTTTCTCCCATAGAACAACTGGTGGGTTTGAACTGCAGTCCAGTGCTTATCCTAGTGTCTGTCACCTGGTATACACTAAACCTTGCTTACTTTACTTCAGGCCTTATTAAGTGCTGTCAGGATGGTCCCAACCCATAGCGACTCTGTATAGGGTTTCCAAGGAGTGGCTGGTGAGCTTGAATTGTTGACCTTTCGGTTCAAACTCACTTTGCAGTCCAGTGCATTAACCCATAGCACCACACTAGTACTCCACAGACTCCACAAAACACTTGGCTTCTGTGGGGCAGGCAGTTGGACCCTGCATTTGATGGCCACCAAAGTGAATGGTTGTGCCAGGGTGTGGGGATTGCTGAGTGACTGCAACCATGTCAGTGGCTGTGTTCTGGATGGGAAGGCCACTGTGAATGGTTGTACTGTGTGACAGTGCAGAATAACACCATAGGAGTGGCTGTGTCCTATGTGTGACTGACTATGAATGGTTGGGGGACTCAGAAAAGTTTGAGGAAGAAGTTAACAGGATGGCTTTCACCAAGATGGAGATTGCAGGGGGTGGCAGCTTGTCCATGGAAGGAGTTGCATTGCTTGTCAACTGGAAAGGAAAGTAGAATGGCATAGCTTAGGGCCTCCCTTTGGAGGTCACTCCAATTAGCTAGCACAGGGCACAGGAGAAGCTAGCCAACCTGGCAAGGTCCTAGCTCTGCCCACTCCCCGCCCCTCCCCACACACGGGGGCAGCGGAGGCGGGACGTACACTAGTCATCCAATACCGTGTGACAGGCTGGGCCCAGTATGTACCTGTCTGCCGGCTAGAGTAGCTGGAGTAAGCCTAGAGCTTTGGAGTCAGCACCCAGCAACAGAAGATGCAGAGCTCAGACCTGAGCCCCCAGGATGGCACTTGGACAGAGTCCTCTCTGCTTTTGGGTCTTGGCGCCACCCTTTACTTGGGCTACTACTGGGCATGTGTGCTCCAGGTGCATGCGGGTCTAGCACTCTGGTCGGAGGGTTAGGGATACTAGGGTCTAGTGACTGTTTTTAGTGAATCCAAGCAAAATGAAGTCTCTGACAACTTCAATCTTTTCTCCTGTTGTCATGATGCATTTTTATATTTTTTAGTCTAGTTCTGTTCCTTGTGAAACTGTCATGCTTTTTATTGGTTCAGTAATTTGGATTTTTGTTTTCTTTACAATGAGGTGCATCTCATACTGAAATCTGCGGTCTTTGATCTCCATCACATTAAAATTTCCTAGAAAGCTTTTAAATTGATATCTAGGATTCTCTCCCAGGAGCCCTGGTGGTGTGATTTAGTTGACTGCCCATCTACTAATGGCAAGGTCAGATTTGAATCTACCTAGCCACTCTGCTGGAGAAAAATCTGGCAATCCAGCCGGGGGGCTCAAGCCTTTTGTGGGAGTTGGGATGGTTGAGTCTGCCACCTTACACTACAGCCAGGTTCCACTTTACTTTCATCACTTTAATAATGGAGAGTAGGTTCTGTTCCTGTCTAAATTCTCTGCATCCTCCGTGTGCTCCCCATGCTAGCTGGGTCTTTCTGAGGGAGCACTTAACTTATCTTTTTGATGTGATAAACACTTGGGGGAAAGGCCAGGTAGCATCTTAAGGTGTCAGCAATTAAGGGCACACACTATACCTTTCTTTTCTTCTTAGGTTAGATCTAGTTGAGTTTCTCATTAGCTATACTGACTAAAGGAACCAGAGGCTTTTAAGGTGGTGTCTAGCTCCCCAACCCTAGCGGGGCCATTGCCATAGGCCTAGTAGGGCCTCACTTCCATTAAGGACTGAGGTTTCTCTCCTAGATCAGGCCTGATAGATCACCCTGTCCATTGCGAGTTCAAGACTCTCCATAAATAGTATGATAAGAAAGTCTGAAGAGATTGATTTTGATGAACTTCTCACTGCAAGTTAGATAAAATACATTAACTTACATATCCAGGAAAAAAAATATTTTAATCATCGTTAAACTCTGTTCTAGGCATCTGAGTCTAACAAGGAACCTATTGATTCAAGTGTTCCTTTGAACTACAAACCAAAAACCCATTGTTGTAGAGTTGATTTCAACTCAGTGACTTCATGTGTGTCAGAGTAGTACTGTGCTCCATATCATTTTTAATGCCTGATTTTTTTGGTAGTAGATTGCCAGGGCTTTCTCCTGAAGTACCTCTGGGTGAACTCCAACCTCCAACTTTTGGGTTAGATGAGTGTTAACCATTTGCACCACCAAGGAATTCCAAAAGATTTATAGGTGATTTTAATGCTGCTGTTGGTAGTGGCTGTGTGCTGAGTCAGTTCTGATTCATGGCAACCCCGTATAGAGTTTGAGGCTATAAATCTTTACAGGAGCAAAAAGTCCATCTTTTTCCAGAGGAGTGACTCGTAGATTCGAAGTGCCAACCTTGCAGTTAGCAGCCCAGCTCATAATACACTATGCTACCAGGGATCCTTTTCAAAACCTTCTATATTAGCATGTTTTGTTTATAAATCAGTTTTCCTTAATAAAACATCAAAACCTTGCAGTACCCTATAAGCTTCACCTTATGTGTCTGATCTGGAGTCAGTCATTAGGGACAAATGTTTGGTCAAATCTGTAAAGTTTGATCACACATTTTGACTGGAACTATTCTTATTAAACATTTTCCTTTGCTTGAAACCTCACATACACTTTATACTCCAAACCATTCCTTGAATTCTAAATACTTAATTCTAAATTAATGCAGGAAAAAGTTCATTCTGGAGACCCTGAGGACACAGTTTGGATTATCCAAGCAGTGGTAACAGAAATAGTACAGATTCATCCATAGCAACCTATGGCATATATGCTCTCTGTAGTCAAGGAACTCTTCTAGGGTTAAAATGAAACTGATTCATTCACAGAAATCACCCTGTAAATTTTATTAGCAACTTGTTCTATACTACCGAGCTGTTTGACCAAGGACTTTAATAAACTGATAACTCAAGATCTTGGCATGATTAGGGAATGTGGTAGCTTCATACGGTAAGCACTGGGCTGCAAACCACAAGGTAAGTGGTTCAAGGCCACCAGTTGCTCTGCAGGACAAACATGGGACTTTCTGCTCCCGCAAAGATTCACAGCCTTGGAAACCTATGGTTATACAGCAGTGGGTAGGGTTTATAGTACAGGTTCCAGAGTCAGACCTGGGGCTGAATCCCAGATCTGCCACAAACTAGCTTTGTGACCTTTGACAAGTTGCTCAACATTCAAAACTCTTTGCTTATGCAGACGATAGTACTTACCCTGTAGAGCTGCTGTGAAGATCATGAGGTCAAATCATGTAAAGGCCTTCACACAATGCCCAGCACATAGTGAACACTCCACAAATTTTACCTATTAGTAGTAGTGGTGGTATCATTACAATTATTAATCTTGTTTTGCTTCTTGTTTGTTGTATACTTTGGGCAAGCCACTTGGTAAATTGTCGTCTTATAAAATATCCTACAGCAAATGGCTAAGCCCAGTATCTGCATAAGCACACAATTATTGTTAAGTGCTGTCAAGTCGGTTCCAACTCATGGTTTCCGAGTAGTGCCTGGTGAGCTTGAACCACTGACCTTGTGGTTAAAATGGACCTTGCAGTCCAATGCATTAACCCACAACACGACACCAGGGCTCCAAGCACACAACAGACCACAGCTGTTATTACTCCAAGAAACTCCAGTAGCGTAGTGGGTTACAAGTGGGGCTGCTAACACAAGGCTGGCAGTTCAAATCTACCAGAAACTCTATGGGAGAACAATGAGGCGTTCTGCTCCTTTAAAATTTTGTTGTTAAGTACTATCGAGTCAGTTCTGACTCACAGCAACCTTGTATAGTGTTTCTGAGGAGTGGCTGCTAACCTTGAAATTCAGTGCATTACTCCAGTGCCACACCAGGACTCCTAGTAAAGATTTTCAGGTTCAGAAACCCTATACAAGGTTGCTGAGTCAGAACTGACTCCCCAGCACATAACTACCACCATTATTATTCCAGGGCTTAAGGATGATGGTACAAGTCACACTGCACAACAGTCATACTATCACTGTAGCCTTTCTAGCTTATCATTTCTCCAGCCTCTCTTGAATATTGGAACTATAGAGGAAATAGGACCCTGGTCTTCAAGTTCCTTTGGGCCTGCTACAGAAATATAATTTCCATTATTGAACTTGTACAGCATCCTCCTGCTCCATCAGTCTGCTAAATAAACAGGACCCCTCACTCACTCGATGTTCATCTAGAGCAGGGGTGAGGAACCTTATTTTTCTGCCAAAATTTATAATATCATTCATGGGCCATACAAAACTATCAACTTAAAAAATTAGGATTGCTATATTTGGTCAAGCATTTAACTAAATGTGGCGCTGCAGGTTCAGCACTAGGCTTTGAATCACAAGACAAGGTTGGCAGTTCAAATCCACCAGCTGCTCCTCAGAAGCCCTGTGCAAGGCTGCTATGAGTCGGAACCGACTCAACAGCACCAACAATGTGATAGCTGGAATTGCAGTTGCCCTGGCAAGGCCTGACAAATAGGCTCACAGGCTGGACGTTCCCACCCGAGCCAGAAGAACCAAGCCGAAAGGCTGAAGTCAAGGCTGAGTGTTCACTGACATCACCTGTCCCTGTCATCCCATCCCTGCTGCTTTCCCTCTGCGTGGCATGAAAGAAGAAAAACACTACTCACAGTAAGGATTATTCCTTCTTTAGAGTATGGTCTAGCAGCTAAGCACCCAGGAAAAAATTAGATGCTGTGGTAGATAGGAGCCCTTTGGCTGTCATGAACACACACATTAGGGAACAGAGGAATGTAGGCAATTGGTGCTAAGGCCAGAAGCCAGAATGGTCAGAGCTAGTCTTGGGACGATGACAGGGTATGAGTAATACAACTGCTAGACACAAAGGACACAGATGGAACAGCGCCCCTTTTCTTCCTTCCTGCCTAGAACTCCTGCCCCTCCTTTCTGCTGGACACTTCTCTGCCTGTATTAATTGCCTCCCCAGAATGGGTTTGGGGTATAGATAAGCTGATAGGGGAGATAGGAACAAATGATCTAAACAAGGTATGCATGGGCTTACATGTGCTTATTAACTAAATCTATAGTACAATTTCACCTGTTTGTTACTACATCAAAGGTGTGAAACACATGGAAATTATTCCTACAATAACGGTGGTCTAAGAGTAGATGCGTGCATGGACACATAGGCTGAATGGGCGTGGGAAGGAGAGGGGACGATAGCCACGAATATTTGAGGGAGCTCCACGAGCTCATGAAAACATGGAATTGAAAGATAATGGAATTTTCCTATCAACTTTTGAAGTTCCCTCGTAGATCAGTTTGACAGAGGATATTTCTACATGTGTATTTACCTATTCTGTGAATACATCCAAGAATGTGGTAGGGCATGTGGGGGGGGGGGCAGCTCTTAAGTATAGCCAAACACTTTTTGAGGGAATCAGTCTCTGGGGCTGGGGACTTAGGATCATAGTCTTAGGGGGGATAATACGGTTAAGTGGCGTAACATAGTCCACAAAAACAATGTTCTAGATACTATTTTAGTGAGAAGTGACTAGAGTCTTAAAAGCTTGTGAATGGCCATTTAAGGTACAACTGTTATTGGTTTTTCCCTGTCTGGAGGAAAGATGAGTGAAGAAAATCCAAGATGAATGGAAAACAATTGGTCCACTGGATTAATGAACCATGCAAACACCAGCCTCCATCACCCTGAGAGCAGAACTATATGGTGCTTGGCTACCACTATCAACTGCTCTGGAAGAGAAAGATCTCATTGAAAGATCCTAGACAGAGTGGGATAAAAAGGTGGAACAGAACTCAAAATTATTTAAAAGGCCAGGCTTACTTATAGACAGACTAGTGGAACCCCCAAGGCACCCTTCAGGTCTGGACCTGAATTTCCTGTGGCTCAACTTTCAAGCCAAGCACTAGACAAGTCTATAAGGGAATCAGTAACACTAGGGAGGTACGCACTCCTTACAATAATCAACTATTTACAACCAAAAGGGCTGCATCTACCCAGGAACACAGTTCATAGGGGTTAGGAAACAGAGGAGTGGAAACAGGAAACAAAGGCAGGAAAGCAATGCCACATTGTGGGGATTGCAATTGACATGAAACAAAATGCACATGAATTAATGAAAAACTGATTGGCTCTGTAAACCGTCACCCAATTCACAATAAAGTTAAACTAAGAATAGACATTTCTGAGCCCAAGCTCATCCCCAGATCCCAAAGAAGAAAAAGACACCCATGTGAAACTACACCAGATTGTTTAGTGCCTTTGAGTTAGTTCTAGCTCATAGCTTGAGTGTGTTCTTCTTCCTGTAAGTTGGTGTGTACTGTGCTCACTACAGCCAGCACCCATCAACCGCAGCAGATCCTAGTCTTGGCTCTGAGTCAGTTCAGTCTCAATTCTAGAAGTGACATGCCAGGATTGGGGTTCTTTGGGGTCTCTAACAGCACTTTATTAGTCATTCCAGGTTGAGATGTGTTGAGTATCTTATTCACAGACCAAACACCTTTCATGTTGGACTCTGTAGAGGGGAGGTCACACTTCCTCTGGTGTTGGGTCCCTCTGCGACTTGGTGAAAAATCAGGGGAGTAAGGCAGATTGTGTTGTGTGATTACAGAGGTCTCGACTGGTAGTGGGGCCTGGGTTTCTGGCCTTCCTGGAGCAACACTGTCCAGTCATGGTGGAGACTTTCTACCCTACACTATGGTGTTTTCAGGGGAAGCTACAAACCATCTTCTGAGTCTTAATGCAGTCTCAGCCCCTAGTCTCTTACTGGAGGTAAGAAGGGACACAGGGAGGGAACATCAAGCTGCAATTCTATCGGGAATCTCCCTCTGCCTTTGTTCAAATGAAGACAGTCTTTGTCCCAAATACTTCAGTGTTATGAGGGTAAGAAAGAATAAGAGCATGCATATCTGAGGGTTCTGTAACTGCTCTGGTATGGTGCTGTAGGGTAAGCACCTGACTGCTTACTGCAAGGTCAACACTTCAAACCCACCAGTCACTCTTGGAAACCCTATAAAGGGTTGAAACCAACTTGATGGCACACAACATAACTGCACATCCATAAAGCAATATTCATTCTTTTGTGTCCCTGTTCCACCTTGTTAAAGCCTTAATGCTTTTCATAAAGTACGTCCTCAAAGGGTGTTGGTGGGAAGCTGTATGACTTGTTTATAGGTGGGGCTGGAGGTAAAAATCCTTGTGAAGCACAAGTTCCTAATAGTGTCTTTGTGTGCCATCTCTCCAAAAACACAGTGAAGTCCTCCAAACCCCAGATGGAGACCAGCTTCTACTAGACTGGGCTAGCCAGCATGACAGCAGCCAATACATTGACCCGACCACCCAGCCCATTGTATTACTGCTGCCTGGCATCACAGGCAGTAGTCAGGAGACATACATCCTGCACCTAGTTATCCAAGCTTTGAAGGATGGCTATTGTTAAGGATGGGCAGAGTGTAGGTGGTATCTAAGAACTTAACAGTGGGGTACAAGAGTGCAATACGGAAGCTGTCTTTTGACAGGTCTTCCTGAAGGCTACCAAAAGGGGAAAGTCTGGCTAAAATGTACTTGTATGTGTCACAGGGCTGTTTTATTTAATAACTGGGGCTGCCGTGGGGAAGAACTGCTGGTGAGTCACCTCCCCACATCCTAGCATAAAGAGAAGCCTTTCACCCTACCCTCAACAGATAGGCTTCGCCTTGGGGCTCTATTTATTTCATTCTTCCATTTCTTGTCCCTTTCCTGCACTTGATCTTAGCCAAAAAGCCAAGAAACTACTTTCTCTATCTTCTGGCTAGGCCATCCCTTCCTCCCCAATGACACAGTTTACCCTCAGACTCACAGGGCCTTTTGTGCTGGCAATACTGAAGATCTGGAGACAGTCGTGAAGCACACAAAACGCCGCTACTCCAAAGCTCCACTGCTAGCTGTGGGCATCTCTCTTGGCGGGTTAACGGCTGCCTGGGCTGAATGCAAAGGCCCAGTCTTGACCCCAATCCCCTCCACCCCACCCAGAGTCCTCTCCACCTGTCCCAACTCCCAACTGCAAAGCCTTCATTCATGGCCCCTGATCCAACCCTGCAGGATACTGGTGCTGAACCACCTGGCACGGACTGGGCAAGCTGCAGAGTTGGTGGCAGCATTGACTTTCTCTGCATGCTGGGATTCCTTTGAGACTACTCGCTCCCTGGAGACCCCACTCAACTCATTGCTCTTCAATCAGCACCTCACTGCTGGCCTCTGCTGACTGGTGGGCAGGTAGGGTCTTGGCAGGTGGGGAGGAAGCAGCAGGCAGGGTAGGATGGCAGACATGCCAAGTTCTGCCAGTGCTCAGGTGAGTTCTCTAGCTGGGCTTTCTCATGCAGGAGATAGGTTAAGCCTCAGGCTGGGACTCTGGATTAGGTCCGGGAGTAAAGATGGTGGTAGGGATAAGGCTCCTGGAAGACTGGAATTTTTTTAGATCTAAACCTCAATCTGATCTTTTGCAGAAATAGAAAGGTGACTGGCAAGGTGGTGATGTAGACTTTGTGCTACAGGTATAGGATTTCAAGCACCCCTTCCCCCAAATATTTTCCTACTCTTCAACCTCATCTAGCCTATCCCACTTTACTCCACACATCCCACTCTCCTCCAGGCCTGTACAATTCGTCAGTTTGATGAGCGCTACACAGCTGTGGCCTTTGGTTATCAAGACTGTGATGCCTACTACCAAGCAGCAGGCCTGAAAATCAAGGTAGATGCCATCCAATTCCCTGTGCTCTGCCTCAATGACCCTTTTTCCTCAGATGACCCTTTTTCCCCAGCCAGTGGTGAGTACCCTGAACCTTGAAAGTTAGATCCCAGGGAAAATGGGCCATGAGGTACATACAAGTGGAGAGCCTGGGTTCCTGATTCCTCTGACCCTCTCACAGGCTGCCCAGCACTCTCCCCACATTGCACTGCTCATCACAGCCCGTGGGGGCCACAATGGCTTCCTGGAGGGGCTGCTCCCCAGGCAGCACTGCTATACGAGCTGCCTCTTGCATCAGTACGCCAAAGCCATCTTCCAGCACCCAGAGGAGTTGCTCAGCCTCACGGCGCTCTTACCTTCTGAGAGAGGCAAGAGAAGTACCATTTAGGGGCTCACTTCTGTCTTCTTTTGTTTATTAAATAACTTTTCCTACTTAATGGGCTCAGATTCATTTTCCTTTTCTTCAAGACTGGGGTAGACTATCCAGGAACTTACTGCATATTTGGCCTGGCTGGCTTGGAATGACCCAGATGAATCCATGGATCCCTCCTGGGTTTTTCTTTTGCCTCTTCCTTCCCTAACAGCAAGTCCCAGGCCAGTCCTTGCCCCAGCAAATGCCAGGGACTCCATAAGAAGAGTAACTGGCCACAAGGCTGTGAGAGGAGGAGGAAAAACTGATGGTTTCTGCAGGAAGGACAGCTGTTTCTCTAGGCTCTTGAGCATCGTCACATATTTCTGGAGAAAAGACCAGCTCAAATCTGGAGTCTGGTAGGCAGAGGGATGGAGGTATTGCCTGGGCTTTGGACACCGCTGTCCTGGAGGAATCCACAGGGATGAATACAGGGTTCCCAGGACCACAGCCAAGCTTGAACTGGGAAAGTCTTAGCAGGGACAACCTCAGCTGTGGACCCACCTGGAGGGAGCAATGGGGATGCCAGCCTCTGCTCTTGTCTACATGGTGGCAGTATCCAGGGGGAAGGAGGCTAAAGAAAGCCTGGAAAGGCACTCTGGAGCAGCAGGATGGTTACAATTATAAGCCCAACACACAGCAACAGCAGCAGCCACACAGGAACACTTCCTGCAAGAGGGGTAAGGGAAGAAGTCAACAGACACAGGGGCCTCACAGGCTGAAGATCAGGACTCTTGACCTATTCCATTCGAGGGGCAGATGGCTATAAATCTCCAAGTGATGTGTTTCTGCTACAGCTAAAGGTGGAGTGGCACCCTCCTCCCCCGAATGACTCACGTCGTGAGGGCAGCAGGTGCAGCTGGCAACGACTGTCCACAGCCACAGAGAATAGGGCAGTTTCGTGAGACCCAAGGAGTTCTGGACCACGACCCTTCTCAGGTAGAAAGGCCACATCTGTCACCACAATGCCATGAGCCTCCTTCACATAGTAGAGGCGCTAAGGTCAGGAAGAGAACTAGTGAGGGAAGGTACAGTTGGGAGGCTTCCTGCAGAAAACATGCCTCCTGCCCTCAGAAGGCTTTCCCAATCCAGGGTGTGCCAAATGCCTTTCTGCACACTCAGTTGAGAGGCCGGCTAAGAGTCCTCACCCCAAAGAGCCCTCAGGCCTGTGCCCACTTCCACCCATTACCTGAAGAGAGAAAGCTATGTAGATGGCAACAGAGCCAGTGACGGTGCCCAGGCCTAGGAAGGTGCCAGATTCACTGCAACACACAAACAGAAAGTGTTCGCTGTCCTGGAGGCCTGTGCAGAGAGCCTCATTCAGAAAGAGCAGTCCTCAGTGATTCATGGAGGAGTCTTCCCATGCTTCCCAGGCACCACCAGACCCAGCCAAGCCAGGACTGCCTCACACCTGACACTGAAGCAAGAGATGACTTCATGACCACAGGGCTTAGTCCGAAGGGGCAAGAAGGTAGAACCATCCCAGGCTGTGAGGTAGCAGGGTGGCGGCTGGCGCTGGCGCTTGTGGGGAATCTGCACTGTGAAGAGTCGCAGCCTAGCAGGTTGGTCTGGAACCTGCCCAAACCTGGGCCAAGAGAGAGGCTGTTCAGCTTCTGGGGCCTGTCCAACTATTCGCAGAGGTTTGTGCCCTCCTGCATGCTGATCAGGCCTAGGCTAATACCCACCAAAGTGATAATCCTCCTCAACTTCCCCAATGCCCCCACCACATCTGGACTGTGCCTCTCTTAGCCACCCTCTGGGGTCTTCACACCTGCAGGCCTGGTAGCGGTAAGGCGTGTTTGAAAAGGTGGGTCCGTTCTCTTGCCAGTGCAGCTGTGTTACCAGTTGGTCCTTCTGCCACACGGAGGCCTTAAGGTCCCAGCCCACGGTTACCAACTAGTCAGGAATAAAGATTCCAAGGATGAGCAGTTAGGAGAAATACTTACTAAGCAAGGAGCATTATCACCTACTTTCTCCACCCCTCTACCTCCTCACCTTGCCATCAGGCCCCAGAGCTAGGTCTTCAATCTCCCCTTCATGGGCTTTGAACTCCAGAACTTTCTTCAGGCCAGGGACCTGCAGTTGAATCACCACTATGGTTAGCCCAGCACCCAGCAAGAGCACTCCTTTCCTTTTTCAATGGTCAATCTCACATCTCTCCCAATTCTGGCCTTGTTGCTATTGCCACGCATTCCACCTAAACCAACCCCCACCCCCAAGAAAAAGAAACCACACCTGCCAGACACGAACGAAGCCATCTGTCCCTCCAGTGGCAAGCAGGGTGTTATCATGGTTGAAGCACACAACTTTCTGCAGTGGATCAGTGCTGAAGTCTGTCTGTACCGCCTGCAAATTCTCAACACTGAGTTCTACGCCCTCACGGTGGGTTTCTGTTCCAGATTTCTGCTCTGCTGGTGCTGCCCACTTCCTTTGTCGAGGGCCTTGGTCCTTAGAACCTGCAACACAAACAGCCTGCCAGGTTCTAGGATTCTATGGTAGTACTGACCTGCTACCAAAGCGCCACCTTCAGTCCCAATTCTTTAGAGAGACCAAGAGGAGAGTGATCTTACTCATCTTTTTTTCCTAAGGGCTAGAGAAGGGGCTCCTCACCTGCCTTCTCTGTCACTTTGTTGCCCTTTTGCTGATGGGTCTGGAAGCGAAGGAGCTGACAGTGGGCATCCTGACCTGCAGCAAGGATGTCACCAGCCAGTGCCAAGTTCATGGTGGCCCGTGTCTCTGTATCATGGGTGTGGAGCAAGGAGGCACTCAGGCGCCCATTAATCTGCTCGAGCTGCAGAAAGTGCTGAGAGAGAAGAAACCAGGATGAGCAAGGTTCAGGGTAGTCAGAGAACATCTCATGGGCAAACTGACATCTCTATAGTCTGATGCCTCACTGCACTTTCTAGTTCACCAGACTTTCTGAAGTTCGTATCTTATTTGGGCCTCACAAATCTATACCGCTGCCAGGGCTGGGAGAATTTGTGTCATTTATAATAACCATGGAGGGAGGCTCAGGAAGCAAACGAGGTGGCCTAAGGACAAACGTGCCTACTAATAGACAGATGTGGCTTCCCCAGAAAGGCAGCATGAGACCCTGGAGCTCTCCCTCTCCCAAGGTCGAGGATTAACGCTTCTGCCTACGCAGTCGTGTGCGCAATTATCACTTCCACTTTAGGAGTCTCTCAACGGTCCGGGTGAAAGTAGCGCCGCGGCGCCCAGCTTCCGATGATCCCCACCGTGCACAGCAATGCCAGAAGCTGAGATACGGCCAGTCTCCGTGGCCCTAGGCCACCCGGAATTGCCCTTAGCCTGTGGCGTAGCCTGGGCCCAGCGACCCTCCGCTCTCACCACGCCATTCTTTATGCCGGTCTTGGCGGCGCCTCCTCCACCCGCGGCGATGAGTAGCCCCGCGTTGGAGTCCACCTGAAGGGCGTACAACGGGAACGGGGCCCGGTACAGCTCCGGCGCCCGGCGCCGACCCATCCCGCCCGGCGCTCTTCACAGCTCACACCGCTGCACCTGGGACATGCCTCTCCCGGCCTCTAACTCCTGCCCCGGGGACTGTGGAACTTGGTCCGGTTGCCGCCTGGAGGGTGTCAGCTTCTCTCACACTCCCGGAATGTCTAATAAAGAAAACACTCGATGAGCGCCCTAATCCGACTTCTGGGCCACCTAAACCCGGGTTCGCGCAGTGCGAACGCGGACCAATCCAAGCGCTCTCTTCGCGCAAGTGCAGAACCACCAATACGCGTCAGCACTCCTCGGCCGGGGTGACGCAACAAGGGCGCCGGGATCCTTGCTCTCCGCCCATTTCGATGGCAGGTTCCGCCATCTTTGTGCGGGGCTTGGGAGACGCGCATGTCGTTAGACGAAAGGCCCTTGGTGATACGGGAAAGGAGGTGGCTAATAACTGATTCGACTGCACTTAACAAAGTAAAGATTACCAGGTGCGGAGCTCTGGTAGTGTAGTGGTTATGAACCAGACTGCTAACCTCAGGGTCAGCAGTTCGAAAGTACTAGCTGTTCCGCAGGAGAAAGATGAGGCTTTCTGCTCCGGTAAAGATTTACAGCCTCGGAAACTCTGTCCAGGGTCGCTATGACTTGGAACCGGCTCCACGGTACATAACAGTGGAGTGGGATCTGACTTAAAGGGTTTTCATAGCTTTCCAAAGTAAATGACAGTTCCCTCTTTTGAAGATCCTCTGCATGGGTTGAAAAACCAAAGTTTAACCGTTTGCATCACAAAGGAAATTCTTGTAAAGGCTGCTGTTATTAAGTGTCTTCGAGTTGGTTCTAACTTAGATTGAGTCTGTATAGGGCTTCCGAGGAGCAGCTGGTGGGTTTGAACCACAAATTTTGCCGTTAGCAGTCCAGTGCTTATCCTACAGCGCTGCACCAGGACTCAAAAACAAAACAAAAAAACTGTTGTCAAATGCTGCGAGTCGTTTCCAGCTCCTAGCAACCCTATATAGTTTTCTGAGGCTGTAAATCTTTGCAGGGGCAGAAAGCCTCGTCTTTTTTCCTAGGAGCTGCTGGAGGACTTGAACTGCCGATCTTGTGGTTTGCAGTCCAGCTCTGGTCCTGTAGCGCTACTGCATTCCCCAAATAAAGGCTAATAAACCTTCACTAACGTGCCGGGTGCTGTAGGATCAGTGCTGGACTTCAAACCACAAGGTCAGCAGTTCAAACCCACCAGCTGCTCCTCGGAGACCCTATACAGGGTCGCTATAAGTCGGAATCTGCTCGATGGCACTAAACAACAACAGCAAACCTTTACTAAAGAAATCCTTCGGTTAGGGTTATTTGCACTTTAAGAGCGATAGACTTATACAGGTACATGCAAATCACACACCAGAAACATGCTCTGCAGCGCGTATCTTAATGGAGGTAGCATTGACAGTAAAATCAGACAAAATGACCTTCAAACCCAGAATCCACTGCTTCCTAGTATGCTGTTATTGTTAAGTGCTATTGAGTCAGTTCTGACTCATAGCAACCCTCTATTGGGTTTCCAAGGAGGAGCTGGTGGGCTTGAGTCACTGACCTTAGCAGTCCAGTGCTGATCCTACAGTGCCACACCAGGTGTGAGGAAGCCACTATATTAACACCTACCATCCCTGAATAGTAGAGCTGGGAGTCTTCCATTCTGTTTCTCAGGGTTTCTCTGTTCTGCTCTAAGTGCTCCTACTCTTCCAAGTTCTCCTACTTTCGGAGTGGAGACTGCTAGTCTTTGGCCACCCTGACTTCACTGGGAATGAGGTTTGGGTGGGTAATATGGCTCTACCTGACACCCTACCCACCTCTTGGGTTTCTTGTCTCCTGAAGATATTCCCCTGTGAGTGGATACAAAGAATGTCCTTTTCTGCAAGGAGACACTCTACTCCCAGGACTGGTAACCTCAGCAGGCCTTGTAGTTGTTAAGTGCTGTCAAGTTGGTTCCAACTCAGAGCAACCCTGTATAGGGTTTCCAAGGAGCAGCTAGTGAGTTTGAACTGCCCATCTTGTGGTCCTGTGCTATGTTCTACAGTGCCACACCAGTATGTTTGTGTTTACTTAACAGGTACTCAAAGGAATGGCATAAACATTGCACACACCAATAGCAGTCTCATGGAGTTGAATTAAATGTATGAAGGGCCTGGTAGAGCACACAGCGTGTCTCAGGTGCTCACAACCTTATGGTTTTTTTGCTCTCCTTATGTACACAATACAGACTGTCTCTGGCTCCTTTATATCCTTTGATTATCCTTAAGAAGGCTGGAATGGAGAGTGGTAACCCTGTAGCCACAGCCTCTGATTTTGTCTGTTGAATAGAATAGGACACAACATAAATTTTGCAGGGTCAGGCTTTATTGATTACAATGAAAGCTAGATGGGGCCCCCAGTGTACTTGGTTCTCTTCAACCAGGAGACAGCAGACTCCACAAGGGGCTCCCAGGGTTCAGAGCTGGAGAACACACTTGACCTCCAGCCAGCCAGCCCTTCAGGGTGTCTTGGGGCCTCGCAGAAATCTGGGGTCTGGTGGGGAGGGTGGTGTTTGGAAGAGGTGCTCCGGGGACCCTCCGTGGCTCTGGAACCAGGATGGTGACTTTGGGGGAATGGATTCTAAATAGACAGACCTCTTTGGGACAGAGGAAGGCTTGGACTTCGGAGAAGCAGTGGCCTGTCTTGGTGCCTGCAGGGGAGGCCCTGAGCGGCTGGTGGAATTTGGTGATTGAAGGTCTGGTGGCCTGAATCTCCCGGTCTGGGAAACTATGCCTGGGGCTAAATCTGGCCCAGCCTGTGCCATTGGTGCTTGAGATGTTGGGGCTTGAGATTCTGGTGCCTGAGATGCCCGGGCTTGACACTGGGGGGCCTGAGCAGTCTCGCCCTGAGGTCCTACTTCCTCCGGACTTCTTTCTGGCAACAGATGCAAGGCCCTGGCCTGGCCCCGAGGCAGGCGGAGGCCAAAGCCTATGCCTATGCGGAGAGGCCCGGACTCCTGGCCCTGTGCACAGGGCAGTAGTTGGGGGAAGGCCAGCAGCCGCGGCCCAGTCCTGTATCTGGGGATGGGACAGGACGGGCTGCGTGGCCGGAGACACACCAGGCATATAGGATACTCCACGACTGGGGCCTGGTTGGGTCTGCCTAGCCACAGTTGCTGCAAAAGCAGTAGACGTAGGTCGTGTGCGATTCGGCGGTGCCCCAGATGGACTACCAGGGCCTGGGCCAGGGCCCCTGGGTCCCTGAACTCTGCAGGGTCCCTCTCGCTTGCCACACATCCCTCCACACCCCCAGGGGACCCGGAGTCCCTGTACTGATGCAAGTGCCTTGTTGGCCTTGAAGAATGAACCCCAGAAGGTAGACTGAAGCTGGGGGAGGTAGATCTGGAGCTACGTGGGCCTTGGGGCTGGGAAGGAGAGTAGCAAGGGGAATTGGAGAGAGAGTTCTGTGGCTGAGAAGGAGAGGAGGACTGTGGGAAGGAGGGTGAAGGATAATGCTGGTGAAAGAACGTAGGGGAAGTTGGGACAGAGGAAGAATAGAGATATGGAACAGAGTCAAAATTTGAGTACGAAGAGTAGAAATATGAATCTGGAGAGTGGGACTGTGGGGAAGGAGAGAGGGGTAGGTGGGATGGAGAGGAAGAGGAGAAATTGGGAAAAGGAAGCGATTGGCGGGGAGGGAGAGGCTGTTGGTTGGGGCAAGGAGAGTCCACAAGTTGTGAGGGTCCCTGAGGGGGGTTTCCAGGGGACACTGCGTTCTGTAGCAGCACCTGGTCTTTGTTTTGAGGCAACATTGCCTTGAATTCAGAAGAGACCTGGTTGATGAGACCAGGGATTAGAGGCCTGGCAGAGGCAGGATTGGAACACAGTAGCTGAGTAGTCAGGTCTTATGTGTGCAAAAAGTGTGGCTCCAGTCTGGAGCAGGTGTTGATGACAGACCAAGGGGGCACCTTGCCTTGTAATAACAGGCTTCCTGGGTGCTTAGGCAGGAACTTGGGTTAGGCCTGGCCTCTCACTCCTTTGCAGTCTGCCATTGATGAGGGATATTTAGGGATGGAGGATCAGCGTTGCCTCTTGGGAGCTGAGGAGCAGCAGCAATAATCTAGGAGGGGTAGGAGGAGGGTACAGACCACAGGTCCTGTGGAGAAAAAGACAGAGCCCCAGATGATGTGAGAACTGGTCCCTTCCATTCACGTTTTCTCTTTCCTCTCTCCCTTTTGTTCTTCCTATAGAATCCTATTCTTGGAGAATTGGTCCTCACTCACTAGTGGGATGTCAAGATTACTGGGTGGAGCAAATGGTCTATGCTCAACTACTGTTCCCAAAGTTGACAATTCAAACCTACCCAGTAGCACTGCGAAAGAAAGGCTTTACAATCTACTTCTGTAACATTGTTGTGGTTGTTGTTGTTAGTTGCCATCGAGTTAGTACTGACTCACAGTGACCCTATGCAAAACAGAACGAAACACTGCCTGGTCCTGTGCCAGTCTCACAATCATTGCTATATTTGAGCCATCATTGCTGCTACTGTGTCAATGCATCTCATTGGGAGGTGTCCTCTTTTTCTCCCATCCTCCATTTTACCAAACATGATATCCTTCTCCAGGCACTGGTCCCTCCTGACAATATGTCCAAAGTATGAGAGCTGAACTCTGGCCATCCTGGCTTCCAGGGAGCTTTCTGGCTGTATTTCTTCCAACACAGACTGGTTTGCTCTTTTGGCAGCCCATAGTACTTATAATACTCTCTTCTAACAACATAGCTCAAAAGCATCAATTCTTCTATGGTCTTCCTATTCACTGTCCAACTTTCACATGCATATGAGGTTATTGAAAATACCATGGCTTGGGTCAGGTGCATCTTAATCCTCAAACTTATATCTTTGCTCTTCCACACTATAAAGAGGTCTTGTGCAGCATATTTGCCTAATGTAATACATTGTTTGATTTCTTGACTGCTGCTTCCAGGAGTGTTGATTTGAGCACAATGAAGTCTTAGACAATGATCTTTTCTCCGTTTATTGTGACGTTATTTGTCCAGTAGTGAGGATTTTTGTTTTCTCTAGGTTCAGGTACAACCCATACCGAAGGCTGTGGTCTTTGATCTTCATCAGCAAGTATTTTAAGTCCTCTTTGCTTGGAGGCTCTAAGGAGTGGGTAGGGTTACCATGAACCAGTATAGATTTGATGGCAACAGATTTATGTCTGTTTTTCCTTTCCACAAATGAGAAGTTTGGACAAGATAATCTTTCAACCTAGTGGTAAAGGTCTGTGATCTGTGATTTTCCTGACCCAAGCTCCAAAAAGATTCCTCTTCAGAGTTGGAAGGGCTCACAGTGGCCCTAGACTTCCTGGAATGAACTTCATTCTCCTTCCCTGTCTGCCTCAGGCCTAGTTCAAGCTGAAATCACTGAGATCCTAACTCTACATCAGCATTTAGGTTCAGAAGAGAAAAGGAGTAGGGAGGGAGAGAAGGTAGGGTAGGATTGGAGGAGTGGACTTGGGGAGGGTGGCATAAATAGGGTGTTTGGTGCTGTGAGCTCTCACCAATGAGGATTCCTCTGGGCTGTGCTCCACAAGGCACTTCAGCAAGGAGGGAAACTGGAGAGAGAGGAAGAGTCATTACACTTATTAGCTCCATCTCTACCTACCCCAGCATCTGTCACCCTAGAGTCAGTCTGACCCAGATTTCTGTCTGAGACTTGCCCTCAATCTTACTTCAGCCAAGCAGAGGTCTTCGGTGGTATAGGCTCTATTCTCCTAAACCCGAACCAGGGATTCAGCAAGCATCCTGGTTTCCTGCCACTCCGGTAACTCTGACCCCTTGTTGTCCCTAATGCTGATGTCCTTTGACTCAGTTTGGCCCCAACTCGGATGGCTTAGCATGCCCAGCAATAGCAATAGCAGTAGCAGTAGCAGTAGCAGTGGGGCCAGCAGGTGCAAAGCCTCTGGGAGAATGGGACTTTGTCCAAGGGGCGGCGACCCTGGCGCCGCCCCCATTGGGAGCTAAAGGCCCCATCCCCTGGAGGCAGTTCTCCCTGGCATTCAGTGCCTATGTCACAAAGGTGAGGTACTGACATCATAGAATCTTCTCCTCAGGGCTCTGAGACTTTTTTCAGGGATCATCCAAAGGCTGGCCCTTGACAACCCTGTGAAACACGTACATTTCTGGTGCACTTGTTCACCCTTCAGTTCCTAGCCACTACCTTTGCTCTCTGCTCTTAACCACCTCCTCCACATCCATTGTTCTTGTCAACCACAGAGCCTTTCTGGGCTGGGCCCTGCTTTCACTTCCTGGCTGCCTCTGCTTGTGGAGCAGTGGTGTATATGCCACACCTTTTCTTCTCTCTCTTGTTGTGTGCCTTCCAGTCAGTTCCGTCTCTTAGTGACCCTGTGCAGGTTTTCAGAGGAGTGACTGGTGGGTTTCAACTACAGACCTTGCGGTTAGCAGTCCAGGGCTTATCCTACAGGACTCTCCCTGCTTGGGATGCATTTGTTGGATGTTTTAGTAACTATTTTCTTATCATGGATTTATTACAATACAATTCACATACCATACACATATGTACAATCTATGCATTTAAAGTGTACAAAGCTGGTTTCTGTATATTCACAGGATTGTACAAACCATTGCCACAGTCTAATTTTGAAAGGCTTTTGTTCCCCTCAGAAGATTTCCTGAACCTGTAAGCAGTCATTCTCTTCCCCTCCACCCCCATCCCTGCCAACTACAGATCTAGTTTCTGTTTCTATGGATTTGCCTATTGTAGACATTTCATGCAAATGGAGTTATATAATATGTGGCAGTTTTGATTAGCTTCTTTGATTTAGCGTGTTTTCAAGATTTATTCATGTTGTAGCATCTGCCAATGATACTTTATTCCTTTTTATGACCAAAAATAATTTATTGTATGGATACACTACATTTTGTTTAGCAATTCAGTAACTGATGACTTGTTAAAATTGAAAATGTGGCCATTTCTAGTGGTTGGCGATATGAATAATATTGCTATGAACATTCATGTATAAGTTTTGTGCAGATTTGTATCTTCATAGGTCTTGGGTAGATCCCGAAGACAGGAATTGTTGGAACATGTGGTAATTCTGCATTTAATATTTTGAGGAATTACTAAATTGTCTTCTAAATAGGCTGTACTATTTAGTCCTGGTGGGCCCTATAGGATAAGCACTGGACTACTAACTGCAAGGTCAGCAGTCCAATCCTACCAGATGCTCCTTGGAAACCCTAGATAGGGTTGAGGCAGAACTGAGTCATACAGTATTTCTATTTCCAACTTTTTGAGGAAGCACCATGACATTTTCCATAGTGACTGCACCATTTTACAGTTGAGGCTTTCTGCTCCTGTAAAGGTTTACAGCCTCGGAAACCCTGTACAGGGTCGCTATGAGTCGGAACCAACTCCACGGCACACAACAACAACAACAACTAGCAGGGTAGGAGGGTCCCAGTCTCTCCACACCCTTGCCAGAATTTGTTGTTTTCTGTTTTTTAAACTTTGCTAATAATGCCTGGTGTGGCACTGTAAGATAGGAACCAGACCTTAAGGTCGGTTTGAACCAGGTCTGTGGTTCAAACCCACCAGCAGCTTCTTGGAAACCCTATACAGGGTCATAACAAGCTGGAACCAAGTTGATGGCACTTAAAAACAACACCATCACCAATAACAACAAGATGCTATCATATCATTGTTTTGATTTGCATCTCTCTGGTATGATATATAGGATAAGTATTGCACTGCCCACCACAAGGTTGATGGTTCAGACTCTCCAGCTGTTCCTTGGAAACCTATCCATGGTATCATGAGTTGGAACTGATTCAAGAGTACTTAACAACAACAACAACAACAATAATGGCTAATGATTGTGAGAATGTTTTCATATGGCGGCCTGAATGTCTTGTTTGGTGAAGTCTCTGTTCATGTCCTCTGCCCATTTAAAAATTTTATTATTTGTCTTCTTATTGAGGCATTGAAGTGTACTATCAATTTTAGAGAGTAGTCCTTTGTCTTGATATGTCATTACCAAATACTTTTTCTCTTTTGACTCTTTTGATGTGCACAAATGTCTAGTTTTTAGAAGATCCCATTCATCTATTTTGTCTTCTGTTTGTGTGTTTTCAGTTGTTTAATAGTGTGTTTATGCCATGTATCAGAGTCCCTAAGTTCATTCTTATTTTCTCATGAATGATCTTTTATAGTCTAGGAAAACATGTTTGGCAATGACATATCAACATACTTAACAAAAAGTATCAACACCTTAACAAAAAGACAAATAATTGAATTTGAAAATGGGAAAAAGACTCGTAACCAAAGAAGACTTCAGACAGCCAGCAAACATATGAAGAAATACTCATCATCATTAGCCATTATTGTTGTTGTTAAGTGCTGTCAAGTCAGTTCTGACCCATAGTGACCCTGTATAGGGTTTCCGAGGAGCAACTGTTGAGCTTGAACTGCTAACCTTGCAGTTCAAATGACTTACTTTGCAGTCTGGTGCATTAACCCACAGCATCACACCAGGACTCTGACCATTAGCCATTGTTATTGTTCATTAGCCATTGTTATTGTTAAGTGCTGTCGAGTTTACTCTGACCCATAGCGACCCTGTATAGGGTTTCTGAGGAACAGCTGGTGAGCTTGAACCTCCAATCTTGCAGTTCAAATGGCTTTGCAGTCTGGCGCATTAACCCACAGTGCCGCACCAGGACTCCATTAGAGAAATGTAAATCAAAATAGTAATGAGATATTATCTTACCCCAGCATTAATGTTGTTAA